TGGTAGTGGTACAGTGGTAATGGTACTTGTAGCAGAAGTGTCTCCCTTATCCTCTTACTATGACGGACCCGGTTATTTTCCAACTTTCCTTCCTATACAACTTGAGAAATAAGACCGAATTCTGTTTTTGTGGTTCTTGAATACTCTTGCATAAATTATCCATGAATTCGATTCTATGGTTTCTCGTTTCTAAATCAGTTTCCGTGAATTTAACACCAGTTTGAATACTCAGAATGATGCGTATTAAGCAGAATAAGTGATCAACAAATAAACTACATAACCCAAAACATCTTGGTCATCATAAAACAGCTTTGCTGCAACGAAAACATTAACCCAAAAGGTTTGATAYGAATCAAAGATACCTTTCCTTGTCAGTTGTCGCATAACCAAAAATATCTATCCGGCTAATGACACATATCCGGGCCGATGGTAGAAGTTTCGTCTCCCTTACAAATTGGCTAGATAAAAAGAGACCCTTTAAATATAAAAACGTATGAACTATTTTAGTCTCTAGAGATAATTACATAGGTTATACTCAAAAAATAAACTCTCGATTGAGGGATCATATCGTTTGTTTCTAATAAACTTGAGGAAAAGCATCTCATCAACGTCATGCCACTATATTCCTACAATGAATCCAACATTTTAAATATATAGCCTCAAGATATCCCGTGGTGTTTAGCATTTTCAAGCAATTTGATTGCTTTAGTGCACATACACTCTAAAAATGAGGGTTTTATTTCCTCTGTCATTCCTCTAACTCCTACGCGCCAATAAATTTAGTACCACCAAYGACTGACGAAAATTCGCTCTTCTTTTATGTATTCAACAAAATCTCACTTGTTTGGAAATTAMTTTCCATGGAATGATGAACCCCACAGCTCGTAAATTGTGTAATATATCAACAAGGCTAGGACTTCCGGGGTTGTCAATGTGCTGAAAAGCATGCTTCGCGCGCTTTCTTTACTGACTTCTTCTTCGTTACTGATTGATTGATGGCTTTGATTTGTTATTTTAAAATC